TATCAAACAAACAATGTGATTTATCGAATAAACGAGGTTACAAGGATTAGTTTTCAAACCAAAATTATTTTAAGAAAACTATTAGCATAAAGATCTTCGTATTACATAAGAAATGAACGCCTGTCTTAAAAGGTAATATTTCACGATGATGGGATCCCGTTGAAGAAAGTCCTTGTGCACAAATAGCCCTTATTTTTACATGTAACACACAGCGAAGTATGCGGATTCTAATCCCGATGAGGAAGTTGAATCCTTTGTATTGACTTTGGAAATTTATTTGTAGTACTTGAGAGCGGAATGGTCCATGATAGGGCGCACTAGAACTGATTCTAGCCAAAAATTTAAATTTTTTATTCCGAGTAGGCAGTTTTTCAGATAGCCGTAGTGCAGTCATTGATCCAGAAATGAATTTTACTGTAAACATGATTTCACAGTGTATGATTTTTAATCATCACCGAAACATTAATGCGCATTTATTAGCTGTAATTATTGCATAATGTAAATATTTCATTTCACGATATCAAATTTTAACTTCATAAATAGCATTATAGCATGGTGTTTGTATATTTCTTTGGATTAGCCAGCGTTACACTGTACATTTGTAAGTAATTCGCATGTTTGAAGTTCTCCAACTAATTTATTATATTTCATTTGGCAAACATAATAAGCATCAAAATTATCTCATGTTAAAGCCTGTGTTACGTCATAGCATTTCAATACTCGTATGCATTCACTTTATTTAATCTAACCCAGTGGTCGGCAAAGTGCGGCTCCAGAGCCGCATGTGGCTCTTTTGGCTCCTTAAGTGCGGCTCTGGTTTAAATATCCACGGAAGGCGCAATAATATTTTCATTTAAAAAAACTCGGTAAGATGAAAATTACATCTTATTTTGATAAATTAAAATTCTTCTATAAATCGAGAACATGTATAATTTTTTGTATGAATAAAAAGATAGATAGGTAATTAAAACTTCATATTGTTGTAAAAATACGCAACGAACATCGAGTTTAATTTTATTAGTTTCAGAAAACGTAAACATAAACCATGTACAAGCTACCGGCATGCACGTGCATGCTTTACGATCAGCTGAAAAAGCTTGCGTTTACTGTTCTTTCCCCTTTTTTCTACATATATATGCAAACAATATTTTTCAAGCATGAGCATTGTCAATAGTAAACTGAGAAGTCGTCTTACTGATGAGAACTTGGAATCATGCCTGAAATTAAAAACAACAACATACAAACCTGACTTACTCAAACTTTCCAAGGAAATGCAATCACATTGTTCGCACTAATAAATATTTATTAAGTATTAAATTTAGTTTTATTTAGTGTAATAAAATTTTACTAAACAAGCAGACTTGGCTCCCAATTTTTTTTAAACATTGTTGTAATGTTCATATTTGGCTCTTTGGCTAATACGTTTGCCGACCACTGATCTAACCAATCAACAAAATATGAAAAACCTTACCATTAGAGCAACAATATCTTACCTACACAATACAATTTGTATCCCTTTGATTTTTTTGAATTCTGACACTATAAGGTAGTGTCAGAATGAAAGGTCTACTGAATAAAACAAAACTACATTGGATTATTTAAACAAAGCAGATAAGGATTTAGTTGCGCAAAGGGCGGGATGTCTCCATGGAGGGCTTTCTAGATGACTGTAGAGAATATGCTTTCTACTAAATGTAACTAATGGCAAATCCGCATTATATTGAAAACGACTTATTGCTATGTTTAAGATGAAACAGAAACTTAAGAAGGGAGTAAAATACGTTTTGCTGAAAACTAAATAGGTTGAAAAGACGGCATTATAAATCATCCAGCAGTTATGGCGAGAAATCTAAATTTAAATCTAAATATAAGTATCTATTAACCAAAGGATTACGCAGATGTACGAGAAAGTTGGCTCTTAAGCTTACACCGGTGTGATAACACTATCGGCAAGAATACAGTAACTCTAATTACAGGAACATTTGTCTTAGAATAGCAAACTAGTAACGTGGCCTTCAGAGGAAAGAACATGCTCTGTCAAACGAAAACTGCAGCTATCGTTGTATGCCGCGATTAGCTTGCAATATGCAAGCTCTTTTCCGGTTATCATAAAATGTGGTACTTCTGTATGTAGGCTGAATACGTGACAGTGAGTCCAGGAAGACAGCTTGCAGGTGAGGAAAAGTTGTGTGACCAGTTGTAACGGGAGCAAGGTGAGCCGTCTGATTGGTAACTGACAAAACAATCTCAAAACCTCACTTAACACACCCGAGCTAATTTGCATTCTGGCTGGAAAACGGAAAGAGAGAAGTAACAGAAAAGGGTTCAGATCATAAAGTTACAGGTTAATTAAATTAAATACCCTACAGGGTACTGGCTCGTATTCATGTCGCACATGGGAAGCTATGAAAGGAAACGCAAACGACCATTTTGTGTTGAGATCGAACCCGAGTAGAGCTCCCAGTATTCAGCGCTCTTAACAACTCGCTCACTGTTGAAGCAAAGAGGATAAGATTTTGAGAAAATTCTCTAACTGAATTGCTTAATATTTTGCTCCGTTTTCACATCTCTGTACAAAGTTTATCATACCTATTTCGCATATTAAAAATGCATAAATTCTAATAATTGTCAGTGTATTTTGTCATAACAGAGTACTTAACGTTTCTCTGTTATGCATTTTTTCTATCAATAAAAATCAGAAAAATGACTTAATTCTTTTATTCTGTGAAATAATACATTAAATGCAATAGTGAAATAACTTAAATATGTAGAAATTTATAATGTTTAATAATTTGAAAGCAATGTTAGATGTTTTAATATTTTACAGATGTTTGAAATTTCATTAAAAGAATTGTTATTCTCAGCTGAAGTAAAATTTTCAAACTTAAGTTAAAGGGATCTTTTCTGTTATAAGACAAACTTGACAAACATTTTTCTTTGGAAACGTATATAAGCCAACTTGATGCTTCTAACGAGAAAACATGCTTTCGTCAAGCGCTTTCCGACTGTAGTAATATTTTTAAACAAAAGAGTTGCTAAGTTAGTTATTTCAAATAACAACGAAGAAGACAGAATGAAGTACCTTAAAAATGTTTATGGTCAATTTTCATATATAATACAAACAATAATACGTATATATAAGGCCACGCGGAACAAGAGAAATTCTTCTGAGAAGCCTCCCAGTCTCTATAGTGGTTAGTGACCATACCTATGGGCCGGCGTTCGATTGCAGGAGAAGGCATGCTTGTAACTGTCCGTTACCTCCATAGGAGTCAATTGCTATTAAATAAAACGCTCAAACATTATTTAAAAAAAACTCCTGAGAAATGGCTTTTGCCTAGCCACGAGTAAATTAAGCGAAAAATGTTACCGTCTTTGGATTGTCAACATTTGCCATGCCGCGTTGACCTTAAATGCTTTGACAGTATAACGTAACATAACTGACTAGAAGCTCGAACGATTGCTGTAAATATTTCTGACATCCAAAAAAAAGGAGTCACAAAAGTTTGTGGAATATCATTTATATATGTGTATGTGTGTGTAATTAAACATCGTAAATTATAACTAATTAGGCAATTTTGTATTGAATTTTAAAGTAAAATCAATTTAAAATCATAAATAAAACTGATCATAATAAACTGATCTTTGATTTTGTTTTAGATTTAATGTATATATATATAATTAAAAAATAATAATTAAAAAAAAACAAAATCTGAAATGTTTCAGATTTTAAATTACGTCCAAAGGGGCGTTTTCTAACATTTTGTGTGTTACCTTTCTTTATTAAATATCATGTTCCTCGCACTTAAACCATAAGATCCAGTGCAACAGCAATATCGCAAAATAGTTTTAAAACGAGCATATCTTTAGAATTTCCGATACAGAGACTCACGCGCTGGAGATAAAAATATTTTTTTTCTGCACAACGTTGCCATTGCTCGCTTTGAAATCCTTGAGTTTGTTAATCAAAAATTCGTCAAAGTTTTTAAAAAATAGGAAATCGATCATAAAACAAATTTCAAATTTCAAATTTGGTCTTCCACATGCTCATATTCGTTGGAGGATTACGTTATTCAAAATTCGATGACTCTATGTACCGTTGTTTTATCACAATACGAGAAATATACATACATCTATGCAGATTTTTCATTATTTAATTTCTTCAAATATAATGCAGGACTCTAACATTTTGTGGCAACAGTTTGAAAAGTGAACCGACATTTATGAGTCCGACGCAAAATGCCAAATCGAAACTAATAGTCCTTCGGGATTCAAATCCCTTTGTACTAATAATAAATCAAAAATTTAATTAAGAAAGGGGTTAACAGTCTAACAGGAAATACGCAAATCAAAATTGAAACAAAAACAATTGAATAAAGTAACATAATAAAATTAATACAAAAATAATTAATCTAACAACAATAAAATTTATTTAAGATAACGTTAATTTAAAAATGTGTTGAGAATTCTTTATTCATTTTCGAGGAGAAGCCGATGATATTTCAATAGAACCACGTTTCAGAATTATATCCGGATGATTGTGAATTTTTGAAAGAATTCAAGAAAAACTGCCAAATGAAAATAAATTTAATTAAAATTATTAATTTAAATCCTCTAAAAGTGCAAGAAAGCACATTTTTTAATTAAGATTTTAATTAATTATCAAAATATTATCTGCTCTTAAAAAATTAAGATTTTAATTAATTATCAAAATATTATCTGCTCCGATATGACTGTAAAAACATACATATACTTACAAAATGAAATATCCACACCTTTTGAAACAATAAAAATGCAAAAGGTGTATTCAATCCTTGAACTCTAAACTCGGAAAGAAAAAAAAAAGAATAAGAAACAACCGATAAAATCGAAAAGAAAAGAAAAGTTTTTCTCTCATAAAGCACTTTAATCGAAAGCTTTCTAGTAACGGCTCTTTTTTCTGCCTCACTGGTGGTGAGATCTCGGCCTGGATTTTAAATTTTTCTTTCCTTCTGGCCGCAGGGGAAGAGGAAAAATGGTTACATTTCGTACTTCGTTACCTGAGTATAAAAAGATTTTTCTGATTTCCATTCTTAGAATCATTCTGACTGCTCTTTACTATAGCAACATTTAAGCGAAAGGCACGCAGGATTTCTATTGTTTCCCCACTTACTAAAAGGTACGTCTATTAGAGATAGTCTTTTCACTCCCGCGTAATGTTATTTATCGAGATTTATACACGAATGAATTTCAAATTATAAAGATCAAAATTTAAATTTGCTTTTAAAGTAATTTTCTTTTGAAAATGCTTACTATTCGGATGGCTAGAAAGTTTTGAGAAAACAAATTACCTTTTAAACAATACCTTATTTATGATAAAACGCTGTTTTTAATTTTTTAAAAGTTAAAAATTTTTTCAAGGGCTTTGCAGCTTTTATCGTTATTTCTGTGTTAGTAATTACGTAAATCTTCCATTGAGTTTTTTAAATTTGCATAGGAATATGTTTTCATTTCTTTTCTTATACAGAGAAATTTTTACACGCATAAGATATTTGAAAATTTAATATATTATTAATGTCCTTTTCTATATATCACACAATATATAAATTTTAAAGCTTCTAATTTCAATTATCCTATTATACTCCTTTTAAAATGCTATACTGGCTCAAAAGATAGTTCATTTGCAAAATGATCTTAATATTTTCAAAGTGTTTTAGAACAGAAGAGTGATTTATTGTTATTGTAACTAAGGATTCGAATGTATTAGCTTAATTATTGAATATGTTTCAAAAATAATAATACTTAAATTGTGCAGAGGCTATAAACATATTTAAAAAAATATCGAGTAAACATATTTTCAATAATGGAAAAAGTGAAGAAATGAGTATAAATGATATCTTTCTATATATTTTTAATATTAAATTTCGCTACATTATACTGCAAGATTCGTCTAAGCTGACACGTTATTTGCATATTAATCCTTTTCTGTGCATTCTGCTTATTCTATCAACCGTCATCAGAATGCATTTTAGGTTAAATTCTAATAGTTAGCAAATTTAGAAAAATGCTGTGGCAACACGCCAATAAAGCTATATATTTTAAGACGCTCATCTAGCAGACTATATTTGGCAAGTTAATTTTTGTATTTGTCAGACTGCAAGTTTTTAATCTACCTTAGCTGGAATCGAATTAATAGCAGCCGAAAGTCAACTTCTAAATAGTGTTTATTTTTAAGTTACGGAAACACACAAATAGTGGTGACCATTATTTGTTAATTTTTAATCGCATTATGTGATGTAGCTTTTTATAAACGTTTTTAGTTTAGTTTTTATTTTATTTAAACTATACTAAAAGGCTGTCGTCTATGTTCTTGAAATCTGTCATCTGTGCTCTTAAAATGACTTATTTAGCACAAAGACGAAATACATTTCCTACGTTAATTGTTTCAAATAACAAAGAAAAAAACAGCCTGAGACATCTTAAAAAAGTTTCATGGTCAATGTTCACGTATAATGGAAAAGATAATTTATAATAGCCCATGTTAAACGAGAGAAATTCTTCTGAGAAATAGCTATTTGTCCAGCCATGAGAAAATAAGTTAAAAATGTTCCGGTCTTTGCATTGTAAACATTTGCCATGCCGAGTTGATATTAAATACTCTGGTAGTGTAATATAGCATAAATCTAATATACTATAACAGGCTAAAAGATCGAATCACAGCTCTAGATATCTATCTATCTATCTATATATATATATATATATATATACATAATATGCGATATATATACATATAGTAACGTATACTATCGTCATAGCAAGGGACGATTAAACAGTTATAATTAAAGAACTTGTTAAATTTACTCTTCCAATGCTATGCTACGACCTATATGAGGCTTACCTGTTGTCGTCCAAAACTATATATTCCTTTTTTGGCATTGTATGAAGTTCATAACAGCTTTGCATTATTAAGGAGCATACATTTGCCTTGTGTTCACTGCGTTCAATTTTCAATGTATAATAATCATCTTGAAACTAAATTTGTTGTACTTAACTGACAATGTTTACTAAGAAATTATATCCATATAAACAGAAGTTATCAGTTAATAATAAGTTTAAAAGATTTTCTGTATTTATTAAAATTTACGAAAATACAAAATGATTTATGAATTTAAGAATTAAATTTACGAAATGATTTGTAGCATTTTGGTTTTGATCTAGTAAATGGATTTGTGATAAAACATTCATTATACCGAATTTTAAATGGAATCGATCAGAAGACAGAAAGAAAGTAAACCGCGTTTCTGGTTGATATAATAGGAAATATGTTAGCGCGAATTATTCAATTTTATTAAAGCATGTAAAATGTGATTTTAATGAAGCATCTAAATCAGGGATTTCCATTGTATCGACCCCTTTTAAAAAAATGGTTTTTCCATCGGTTCGCCTGCATTTTTTTACACAACTTACAACATAATAGAAATAATTTCACGTACATAAATAAAAGATATCAATAGGACTAAGAAATAAAAAATTTTGAAAAAAATGGTTTATTAGATTAAGGTTTAATTATTTTTATATTAGTGTTTTTAAATTTTTGCAAATATAAACAGTTTGCAGAACCAAAATCACAGATTCTAATTTACATGAAAATTCATTTTAATGAATGCAATGGACTACGCTTGATGTACTGATGCAATTCTTTTTATTATATTTGGCATAAGACTGCTTAATTTCATTTTTAATCACTTTGTTCAAAATATTCAACTTGTTTCTGGTTTTCAGTTCCAGTTCTATGCTTTTCGTACATTTTTTATTACATTTTCCTGCCCTTTGGGTTTTATTTTATTACATTTAACTTATCTAAAAAAACAATTATATATTTAAAAAAATGTGACTGATTTTTAAAATATTTAAATGATTTTAGTGTACGTTTTCCTTACATTTATTTTAGACAATTACTTCTTATTGCATTATACAACTTTATTTCTATAAAGAATTAATCATCACTTCAATATTTTTTGTAATCAATGGTGTAGAGATATTAGGTTGTAGAATCATTAGGTTAATTGGAAGCAGAAAAGATGAACAAATATGCAAAATATGCCTTCGCCGGGAATGGAACCACGGACCTCTGGAATACTGGCCCATAGTGCTACCGTTACACCATGAAGGCACGCTAGGGAAGTGGGAGAAATACCTTATAAGGTTTTTAATAAAGCTAGAAACTGGAGAAATGAACAATGCCCTCGCCGGAGCTCGAACCTCGTACCTCTCGAATACGCGCCGAGTGTGCTGACGAGTACACCACGAAGGCATGCTAAGTAGGTGGGAGAAATACCTTATATATTCTCCTTTTTAAATGGCGACTGGAGATTACGGGATCCAATCACCAAATCTTGGTGGTGGAAAATCATCATCCACCACCTTTTTTTAGTTCGGATGCTACTGTTGAGACATCAGGTTTTTTTATTAAAGCAGGAAACTGAAGAAATGAGCAATGGCCTCGACGGGACTCGAACCTTGGACCTCTCGAAAACGCGTCGAGTGTGCTGACCATTACACCACGAAGGAATGCTAAGAAGGCGGGAGAAATACCTTATAATGGAATCAAGCACCATTTCATTGATTATCATTTACCCCCTTTAAAATCACATCGCATCGATCCCTAGGAAGTCTATCGACCCTGTCGGAAACCGTTGATTTCAGTGTAAAATCTAGAAAGCATTAATTTATTTATTAACATCTTAGAAATGAAGCAAAATTAATCACATTATGATTTGGAATGACCGACAACAGTGACTTTAACGATATAACCCGTGGCATGAACGACAGAATAAAAACCTGAGAAACTTAAAAACCGTGTGATCTGAACCCCACATGAAAGAGCATCAAAACTGCATGTTATCATGTCGTTGTTAACAGCTTTAAGGGGAATACTAATTTGCCTAAAGAAATAACGATTATCTTAGATTATGAAATAGTACTTCAGAATATGCCGAACATTATTTTTCATTTTTAAGCAAGAACATTTATATGCTACAAATTTGCAAAAAAATATTTCCATTTTTTAAAAAATAAAGTATTTTGTTGGGCACATTTAAACCGCCATTTCTGCTGAGAAACCTTTACTTCCGACAACCAATAATTCGAAAAAAGTCTGCGATTTCATCAAGCGTCCTGTTTCTTAGAATATTTAATTATGAATGAATGATTTAATGGTAGAAATATTTAAAGAAAAATGATGAATTTCAGAATCAAAGGTTTGCGGTGTTAAAATATAAGAAATTACATTTCTCCTATTTTAAAATCATAATTAAAACTATAACTAGTATTCACAATTGATCATATCGGAATAAATTTGATACAGACTTGTAAATTAAACATAAAAATTAATTACACTCTCAAATTTAAAATTAGCATAATAGGAAACATATCTATAAACAAACTGTGTAAATAACATTTGATGAATTGATTAATTATGCAGTGCTTTTTTTATGTATCTAAGATCTCTGCTCTTATTTTTTCCAATTTCCGTATGTAGTAGCCCATTATGTAAACTTTACTTCGATTAGCACAACATGATTAATTTCATGTTAAATTCTTGCCTATACTTCTTCTGTTTCTTCTGCGCCGGAATTTGTAAATGAAGTGGTTTTAAAAAGAAATAAGAATTTAAATTCAGGAGAAAGTTTGGAACTTTCAGTCCGCAGTGGTGAAAAACCTCGTTGTTTGACCTTGAGCGTTGTTGCTAACAGATAGTGAGTTTGTCAATGACGACAATTAATTTATCTCCTGCAGCTGAGAAAGGAGGTTACACTTAACCTTCGAAACTAAAGTTCTCAAATTTTATGCACGCTTATACTTTTTGCTAATTTTTAGTATATTTAACATTTCTTCTTTGGCGTTTTTATAGTTAAATCTTTCAGTTATCCTTATTGTTGTGTTTATTTTGTGTTCTAGAATTGTTCTAGAAATAGAAGGCAAAAAGTGGAACGAAAATTTATGCAGCAGTCTAGAAAGTTAGACCACTTTTTAGATTAAGACAAACTGAGTTTAATCTTGGACATATTCTATCATTCATATATATATATATATATGTGTTAAAATCCTAAAATTTTTGATTAAGGGGCAATTTTCCTGGAAGGACTATTAATTTCGTTTTGGCATTTTGCGTCATCC